GTAGATTAACAGGATATTTTTGAAAGAGAGAGAGAGAGAGAGAGAGAGAGAGAGAGAGAGAGAGAGTGTGATAGACAGAGGGGAGAGATGGGACAAAAGAGAGAAGAGAAGATAAAGAGAGAAAGAGAGAAAGAGGAGAGAGAAAAAGAGACAAGCGATAGAGAGTTAAAAGAATGAAGAGAGCAATAGAGAGAAGAGATAGATAGAGAGAGAGAGAGAGAGAAAGAGAGAGAGTTGAGGATATAGCAATAGAGAGAAGTTAGTGATATATACAGAGAGAGAGAAAGAGAGAGAAAAAGAGAAGAGAACAAAACAGAGAAGCGAGAGATAGAGAGAGAGAGAGAAAAAGAGATAGATGGGTAATTATAAAAAGACAAAGAAAGAGAGGAGAGAGCTATAGAGAGAAACAATAGATAGATATATAGATAAATAGATAAAAAGAGAAAGGAAAGAGCAATAGAGAGAAGTAATATATATATATATATATATATATATATATATATATAGATAGATAGATAGATAGATAGATAGATAGAGGGTGAACAAAAATATAGGAAAGAGATAGATAGATAGATAGATAGATAGATAGATAGATAGATATGAATAGAACAACAAAATAGAAAAAAGAGATAGATAGATAGATAGATAGATAGATAGAGGGTGAACAAAAATAGAGGAAAGAGATAGATAGATAAAGAGAGAGGGAGAGGAGAGAGCAATAGGGAGAAGTGATAGATGAAGAGAGAGAGAAAGAAAGGAGAGAGTAATACATAGTTATATAGATAGACTGAGAAAAAGATAAAATAAAGGAAATGTGTTTAAGCGAAGAAGAAGAGAAGAAGAGAAATAAAATCGATGAAAAGAAGAAAAGAAATGCATCAAGATAAAAAACATTAAAAAAACGCAGAAAAAAAAACAGAAAATGAAAGAAAAATAAAAGAATTAAGCGAAAAATTTCTAGAGGGGATTTGAACGAGAACTTAGCCACAAATATACATGAATGACAAATGTAACCTAGTCTGCATGGCAACACTGCCATCGACCGTAAACTTTCTTTAAACTTAATAACTGAAAAAGGATGACACGATTTGTGGACATAGTTTATGTTCTTGTTTTGGTGTGAGGAACCAGCCCACAAAGTTTGTAAAGGTATTGTTGATACATTCTATATATCTATATCTATATCTATCTATATCTATATATATATATATATATATATATATATATATATATATATATATATATATATATAACTATGTGTGTGTATGTGTGTGTGATCATGAATTACTCGAGAACCATAAGGCATATTTCCACCAAAATTCGAACATAGATTCTACTCGTTACTGGGTGTGTCTGGACAAAAAAATTAGTCATTTTTCAAAAATCAATAACCGATAATCGATAAATATAATGTTTAAATGGGAATTTCCATTAGTTTGGTTGTTTTTAAACTTTCAGACTTGAAATCTAAACCCTAAGGCCGACTTTAATGAAACTTGATAAGTGTATGCAACTTAGTGTCACGTTTATTATACGCTATATTGATTTTCGTTTCTCTCAACACTGGGACCCCCGGGGTACCCCAAAGGGACCAAAAAAAATTAAATTGCTTCGATTATGATGAAATTTTGCATATTTTGTTACGCTCTTACAATGAGATGGAAATCGGTTGTCAGATTTTTAAAAATGCAAGAGACGGCCCCCAGGATGACCCCTATAAACCCCTTGATGCCTCAATTGCTTTTCAAGTGTATTTTGAAGCAGTATTCCCCACTTTCAACGAAAATTTCAGTACATATTGAGATTTGTTGAATTTCTTCTCCTTCCAATGCATGTTGTTTATTCGATGTAGTTTGAGCAAAAGCTGTCAACAAAGCATTTCTCATCAACAATTTGCTGCCATTTTTTGTATCTTCTGTAAAAAACAACTTTCTCCTGTTATAAATGTTATAATTTTTCGCAATAGGGATAAGAGGCACGAAAGAAAAAATCTTCTTTAATTTAACTTTACAGATTGGATAAGGTTCGTGATCTTTTTTTAATAAACCCAGGCAAAACCAAGTAATACTGCTAGGTAATTATATATATATATATATATATATATATATATATATATATATATATATATATATATATATATGTACATGTATATATCGCCACTGCTCCCTTCATGATGAGATAGCGTTACAGATTAAGAAGGCCTCCGATGCATTTGCATCACTCACGTTCCGTGTCTGGCGTCGGAAGGGCAAAAAAAACCCCAAAAAACAGACAAAAATTAAAATATATAATGCTTTCGTTATGTCATCTCTACTATATTCATGTGAAACATGGGTAGTCAATCACAGACATCTGAAGATACTGGAACGTTTTCATCAACGATGCCTTCGTTCTGTGCTTGAAATGCACTGGATGTCTCACACTCCTGATATGTTATTCTACAAACGGCCAATTCACCCTCTGTGGAAGCAATCATACACAAATACAAATTGCGATGGACAGGCTATGTTATTCGTATGGCAGATGATAGAATGCCAAAACAATTAATGTACGGAGAATTGGAAATGGGAAAAAGACCTCAGCACAAGCCAAAACTTCGTTACAAAGATTGCCTTAAAGAGTCACTATACAAGTGCAATATTGGTCTGGATAACTTGGAAACTCAAACTGAAGACAGGGTTTCTTTAAGAACTGGTATTGCTGATGGCGTCAAGATATTCCATGAGGCATCACAAAAATATGCAGAACTGAAGAGAGAGGTTCGAAACGGATCCCTGAATTGCCATGAGGTGCCGACCTGGCCATGTGCCCAATGCAATCGGATATGTTTGTGCAGGTCTGCTCAGTCACCAGGAATCACACCAACACCAACAATCAATTGCATATGACCATTTCGTAATATCATGCTTTGAATGTCCGACCTGCACTAGAGTGTGCAAGACCAGGTCGGGACTGACAAGGCATATAAAAAAAGACACATTGGAAGTGATGATGCTCAAAGTCAACTTCCATCACCTGGAGATAATTTGACATGTCTTATATGTAACAAGAAATACAGATCGATGGCTGGCTTTATGAACCACTGTCGTTCACACAACAAAGGAATGCAGTTTCGTGGGGGAAGTTTAACTGATAGACTGAACATGTCAGTGATGGTCATACTGGCCTTGCGAGTCGACAGCCACTATAGAATATGTATATATATATATATATATTATTTACGCATAAAGAAATGAAAATAGTAAGAAAATGTGGAAGAGTTTGTCGGTGTATCTTGTCGTTCATCACCAAAAAGGAATGATTCAATATTTGGCAGGTAAATAAAAAAGGATTATGAATAAGAAAAAAAAAAGACGAAGAAAGAAATATATAAAACAAAATATCAATAGAGATTAACTCCGCCTGTATCTTTTCGTGGACGGACAGAAATAAATAAAAGCAACTCCGGAAGCATGGAGATAGAAAGCGAGATAGAGAATGAGAGAGAGAAAGGTATATATATATATATATATATATATATATATATATATATATATATATATATATATATGTGTGTGTGTGTGTGGTGGGTGCGTGTGTGTATAGAGAGAGAGAGAGAAAAGAGAGAGAGGAAGAGAGGTGATTTAAAAGATGTGGAGAATTTTAGGAGAATGATGTGAAAAGAAACGTTTTGTGTGACAGACAACAAACAGTGCAAGAATTCAAAAGATGAATGCGGAATATATATAAAGAGTGATTGAAAAGTAACTCCCTATTCTATGTATGAGTGGATACCTGGGCTGGCCATGTTGCAATGATGAGTGATGACAGAATACCTAAGATCCTCATGCATAGTAAGCTTGACAATGGACAAAAGAATGATGGACAGCAGTGGCTCAGAGACAAGCTAAAGAGTAACCCCGTAGCTGTCAATGTGCCTCATACTAACTTCGAGCTAGTTGCCCTGGATAGGAATAACTGGAGATATTTGAGCCAGAGTTGTATGAGAAATTTCGAAATCTTTCGTATTGACTGGCTAAGAGACAAAGGACAACGATGAAAAGCGTTAGCAAATGTTCCTGTTGTTATGTCCTGAGATCCTCGCTGTTGCATAATATGTGAACTTGTATGCAAGTCACTAGAAGGACCTGAAGTGTCACGTCTGACACAAACATAAAAACTGAATGAGGTTGAAGGACTCTCATACGTCGAAATCGAAAGTAGTGTCCATCATATATCTATATCTATATATATATATATATATATATATATATATATATATATATATATATATATATATATATATATATATATAATGTAAATATATATATGAATAAATCCAGGCATAAAATAAATATTTATATATAAATGCTCTGAAGTAAATTTGTTTGTCTTGTACTGGTGAGCACTATTTTGACTTAAGGCTTCAGCTCATGTGCCGTGGAACTAGTTTCACTTTACTAAGCGCTTTTTGCTATACTGAGAAGCCTTTCCAGGTAGGAAACATTTCTTTTTTGTATTGCCATTGTAGACCTTGGATGTATGATCTAAACCTCCCCACAACCGTGGGGGTTTGGTTTGCTTGTGAAATTGAACTTGAACTCGCCTGGTGGTATATAGGTATTCGTGAAAATGCATGAAACTAATAGTAGTGGCCAGTCATTGCCAACCTGCTTATTTGAATTAATATATATATATATATATATATATATATATATATATATATATATATATATATATATATATATACAAAGGAGAGTTTATTGGTAATAAGTTGTTTGAATTTTTACCTCCGGTATTAGTATTATTGATATTATTATCCGATATTGAGCCTTCTACACTTAGAAATATAGAAAAATTGAAACAATGATTTTCGTATATATAGCCAACAATTACAGCATCGAATCTATCAGCGAGTTCTTCCAGATCCTTAATGCAACAACACCTGCATATCGGACCCTAGCTTCATTTGATGTTGGAAAACTCTTTACCTCCGTATCAAGCGAGGAAACAATCAACATAATTTGTGACTTCCTTTACAACCACTCGCCAGTCCTTCCTCTTTAAATGGGACCAGCATTTCTCCGGAAATTGCTTTCAACTTATACAATTAAAAGCTTCTTCTGTGACTCTAAAGGTGGCAACTACATCCAAACCAGCGGAATTAACATGGGCGACACCTAAGGTCCTACCTTCTCATATGCCCTCATAGCTCTTGTGTATCTTGTGTAATGACAGAAAATAAAAACAATTCTGAGGGGGAGAGACAGAAAGGAAAAGAGTGAAGAAGAAATGCGTATAAAAAATTTTAGGCAGTAAATTGCTTATACCTGCTGAAGAGTGAACGAAACTCTGGAGTTGGGATTTTGAAGGTACCATCAAATTTTATATATATATATATATATATATATATATATATATATGAATTGAATTGAGTTCTCCGAGCCACTGGCGTATTTCGTATAGAGAAAAACGTTAAAATTACCTTCTTTTCTGCCATGCGACGATGGCCTACAGGTAAGATTATTTCACTGACGTCAAATCCGCCGTCGGGTTTCGATCCCGGCTTGAAACAATCGGACGTCTAGCCACACTGAGGGTACTGTGATGCAGAGAAACTCTCTACCTGTGGGTGACTATATACTTTTGTTGTTATACGTTACTTATATATACACAAATATGTAAGTAAGTGCTGCTGTTTATAATAAACGGTATTAACAACATTTAATGTCCTGAACGTCCGAGAAATTTTCAAAGAAAATATGCGTCCTCCGACAGGAATCGAACCTGTATCCTACACGGAACCGTCATATAGCCTGACGTGCTATACTAGTTTAGCTACAAATGAGCGTCTGGTTAGCAAGGTCTATTAAACTGCTTTTAAAATTTCCCAAAATTCATGGAAAGTTAGGACATTCAGAAAAAAAGGAGTCGGGCGGAGTCAGGATCATCGAGTTAATGCGAACGATCCTTTCTTTAGCTGCATAGTATGTGCTTCGTCGGGATTACATACAGTTTTGAATTCAGAGTTTTCCTTCTCTTAGACCGGCTACCACCCAAGGCTATAGAACTCAATCTGTGCTGCTAGTAACCCATAACTGGGGGAGGAGAGACGGATATATTCATACCTTTTTCAAAGAGTATTACCACATAGAAAAATAGAGAATGTTCACAAAGATACAAAATGACAGTGATAAAAAACTAACTTACAAACACTATTTGACAATAGTGGTAACGTGTTGGCGGTCTTCTAAAGAAAGAGAATAAGTATAGTTTATTGCACTGTATATTTCCTACTTATTCCATTGTTGAGATGTAAGTTCCACTCGAGCAGCTTCTTGCCTCGAACCTTGTGGAACCGACTAAAAGAGGAGGTTTCCCCGATCATTACAATCTTAACATGTTCAAGTCTAGAGTTAACTGTTATCTTCCTCACATATCCTTATTAACTGTGCCATCTTACTCCGTAACGCTCTACTTCAAGTCGCTCTTGGGCCTTGTAGAGGGTGAAAATTATTGTACAAATAATTCTACTTCTAAATAATACAACTTAAAACATAGACACAGAAAAAATATTATTGAGTTCAAAAAAACAAACAGATCATAAATCTGCACAAGGAAGATCAATGCCGTTTTTATACTTGCAAGAAAAATACTTATATAATAATACTTTATACTTGTAAAAAAAAAAATAAAAACCCGAATCAAGGTAAAAAAAAACACACTCTGTACTAAAATTCTCATGCGAACACAGTGTTGATAATCACAACCCATTCATCGACGTTTACGTCAAACTCAACTGCAATGCATTTAACACCTCCTTATATAAAAACACAATAATAAGAACACCCACCTCTTATAATATATAATAGTGAATGGCCACAAAAATATAAAATAAAGTGAAAAAATAACTTCTTGAATAAAGCCAGTTAATCTCTCTCCGGAAATATTTTTAGTAAACACAAATATATACAACAAACATTGGTCTTCCCAAATACATTATCGATGACCAAATAAAATTATTCCTATAGGCATTAAACGCCAACACCACTAAAAGTGCAATAGAACAAAACATTAATTGCTGTCTGAATTTCTGGGATGAGAAGTTATCATTCTTTACACTATTTATATTCGGACTGTTATCTCATCTTTTCGATATTGTTATCACAACGTTTCGGCCGTTGTGCCTTCCTCAGGTATTTAGCGATCTGGATAACATACAGGGAATTCTGAACTGAACCATTTCTTTACTTTATCCACTAAGCCATTTTTCTTACGGAACAATGTCCTAGTGGATAAAAGCGTTGGTTTGTAAATTTTGGTGACATTGTGTGTCCATTCCTGTTATGGTCCAAGGTTAGGACCAAGGAAGAACAACACGAACACAAGATTAGAAATAACGAAGGTATATTACACGAAATAATAATACAAGATGTGGAAGGTGTTAGTATGACTGTCAGTCTGGTTTGGAGTGAACTACTATCGGCTCGACTCGATTCGATATTTACTCCCCCCCACGAGGGTTGCATGTGGCACAAGGCCGAGTTTAATGTAGGTTTCCCGAGCCCGTAGGCTCGGCCAAAAAATGAGCGTAGAACCCGTATATAAACGGGATCGGATTGGTCAACCTCCCCGAACGGGACTCTGCCCTTCGGCGGAGCCTCGTCCGGGTTCCTCTCTGCTCAGAGGCAGAGAGTTCGACCATCAAGCCGAGAAGCTCGGCTCGATTCGGTATCTGGCTACCCTCCACCTCACGAGGGTTGCCTGTGGCACAAGGCCGAGTTTAACGTGGGTTTCCCGAGCCCGTAGGCTCGGCCAAAAAATGCCCGTAGAACCCGTATAAACGGGATCGGGTTGGTCAACCTCCCCGAACGAGACGAGAATGGAAACCTCCTACCGCCGTAGATTAAATAAAGGTTCAGTTCAGAATTCCTTGTAGGTTTTCTAAGATCGATATACACATAAGGAAGGCTAGAGGGGGTAACGGCCAAAACTTTGTGATAACAACAACAACAATATAAACGAGTACAACAGTCCGAATATAAATAGTTTAAATAACAAAACATTCATATCTTTTACTGCAATCAAATGCACAAAATTATAATGGTCGATTTGTCATGCGACGCATCATTAAACAATGCATTTCACCCGTTGACTTCAGTAAAAATGTAAAACTATAGATACTATAGAAAATTAAAAACTACCAACTTCATAATTACCAATAACAACAAGCCTATCAAATCTAAACTCAAGAACATCATTACATTTGATCAATTTCGCATGACGTCTCTTGTAACAAACCGAATTGGATATACATTGAAGACAATTAATACAAGGCTGACAAACTCCTTAAGTGACCTCGGTGCTATAAATAAGCATTTAGACGCGAATATGCAACTGTCGTCCCCCTTTGTGTGTGTAGATATTGCTTTAAAAGTTCCGTTATATTTTGTTTGAAATTGAATGCGATGTTTAACATCAACATTTAACGTGTATCAATCACGTGTAAAGACACTATTTACATTATTCGGACTATTGTCATCAGCTTTGTCGCCATAAGAAGGACAACAACAGTCAGAAAACAGTCTGCCTGCCTTAGGTGAAGGCGTTATCAGAGAAAATACAAAGGATCTTCTGTCCATATAACATCAGGACAACCTTCAAATGCTGGACGACAATTCGCAGATATGTCTAGGGAAGACAGGCCTCCCCCTTAAGGTAAGGATTCAAGAACACCAAAAAGCTGTAACATGAGGGGAAGCAGAAAAAATCAGGCGTGGCTGACCACATATGGAAATCACCGTCCTCTGTGAGATCAGGTTGAAATCATAGACAAAGAACACCATTGAAAAATTCGTAAACTTAAGGAATCAGCACATATGTTAGGCCAGAGAAATCTCCTGAGCCGACCAAGCATAGAAATGAATACAATATGGGAACCAGTAATAAGGAGTGGCAGAGAAAAACGATAATAACAACAAAAATTGCAATACGAGCTCTGGTAAAAACATGCAATGATAACAACAAAATTGCAATATGAGCACTGATAAAAAATGGTTGCTGATGACATTAGGTTTATAATATCCAGAAATTCATACACAGTTGTCCTCAAGGACACATGTTACAGTGGATAAAGTCGTTGGTTAGATCCAGTGACAGGACCCAAAGAGTGTGAATTCAATACCGTGATAAATATAGCGACAAAGATGAGGACAATAGTCCGAATAATGTAAATAGTGTACATAATACCTCATCTCAGAAATATAGACATATACATGTAAAGACGTTATTTTTTAAAAAGTATGCATTCAAAAATTCGGAATTTGAGACTATAGATAGTTTTATTAATGAGTAGTTTTTTTTAATGTAAATAACTTCAATAATCTTTAGATTATTATTGGATTTATGTGTTATTTAGTATTGTTAGAGCGGTCTAATGTTATTATAGTTCTTGCGGTGCTTGTTAATGTTTTATTTAGATAAACATCATGTAAGCCAGTATGAGAAAGAGTTGTATTACCTATATAAAACATTATTTATAGAGATGCAATCTCCAATTTGACTAATAAATTCATGAGCAACATCAGTCTTATGTAGGGTTTGGTTGTTTGAGAAATAATATTTTTTATGATTAGGTTACTGGTTTGAAGTTTTTATAATAAATGATAAATCTTAAATATGTATTTTTATTAACAGTTTTAATATGTTTGTGCATTTTCTTATTGAAATTTTATCCTTTTTGGAGCTGTTGTGTAAAATCAGACTAAAGATTACTGAAACTATATACATTTAACAAAATCAATCTTCTATTAATAAGAATAATTATAGACTTAAATCCTGTATCATTTAATGCATACAAAAAATTAACATAGAAGGTAGCGACGGAGAGTGAGAAGAAAGGACTAAACATAAACTACAAGAAGACAGAATGCATTGTCATCCGTAAGAGGATGAGCTCGAAATGCGATTTGCAGGTCGGGAACATTAGAATTAAGCAGACGCGGAAATTTAAATATCTAGG